GATATTCATTGCTATCGGGATGTTAAGAGCATTCCATGGAATATAACAAAGTGTATCTCGAGCCGGTTTCTCAAACTAACTACCCCACCTTTAATATGAGCAAAATGTAAAAGTAAGAATATGCAATAAAATATTAAATTAATAAAGAGTCTTTAGATAAACACAATAAATAAATATGTGCAAGAAAATAATCAAAATAAATAAAATATATTCACAAAACATAAGAATTTAAAGTAAGAATGTGCAATAAAAAATATATATATAAAACACGACTCTGGCTCTGGAAAAAAGTGTGTGTTTGTGTGGTAGAGACGTCCAGTGTTTGCTTGCGTTGGTGCATGTGTGTGCCTGTGTGTGTCTGTGGGGGTGTGTGTGCTGCTTGTGTGTGCTGCTTGTGTGTGTGTCTGTATCGTGTGTGTTAAGATATGTATTAGAGACATCCAGTGTTTGTGTTTGTGTGTCTCTGTGTGTGTGTCCCTGAGTGTGTCTGCGCGTGTTGGGGTGTGTGCATGTATCGTGTGTGTTAATATCAGAGGTCGCGTTAACCGAATATATTCCGTCTATGACGGAATTCTTTTGACAATGACGGAAAAATCTGAAAGCAGTCCGTCATTTAGACGGATTAGAACAAACTCAGAACAGCGCCAAAGTTTCCCCGCAGCGAGGCTCCGGTGTTAAGCCCTTATGTCGTTTCCAGACCTAACTATGCCGTACAGATCATTGAAATGTCTGAGAGTTTATGCTTTACGCTGTGGCGCGCTCCCGCGAGGTGGGCAGGCACAACACGGCATAACACGGTGTGTGTGTGTGTGTGTGTGTGTGTGTGTGTGTGTGTGTGTGTGTGTGTGTGTGTGTGTGTACCTAGGTCCACCATTAGCAGGCGTCCCAGAGCCGTGTAGAAGGTGGTCCGACACCTCATGTCGCTCAGGTTGGATTGGTTGTTCACCCCGAGGAAGGAGAAGTGTTCACTCTTTAAAAACACAGAACAATAAGATCATTATATATAATCCACACGGTTAGTTTGTATGTTTACACGTTTTCTGAAGTGTTATGTTTAAATATGCAAATGAGTTGAGTGTTGGTGAGTTTAGGAGACTCAAACTCCTGGAGGTGGGTTTAGTGTGTAACCCTTTGTTCTCTTTGCTTAAACATTCAGTACAGACCCAGGGTATATGCAGGGATCCTGAAGTCAAATGTAAGACCTCTTAATACTTGTTAAGACCCCGCGGACACCCTGAGACCATTGTCTCATTTGGATGCATTTATTTAGCTTTCCACTTCCAAATGACAAACATGACTTAAGCATTGTTGAAACGCAATAAAAGCATGTTGATCAGAAAGATGCCTAACCTCCACACATGGAGTGTTTATTATGTAGAGGGTTACTCACAGTGTGGTTGTTCAACATGAACTGCACGGCGCTGAGTTTCACCAGCTTCCTCACGCTGCTGTACGTGCACACAGGAAGTCAAGGAGCACACAGGAGTACAGGGAGGGGCACGGGCTTTCATATACATATTTAAAGTTAGCATTTACACATCAGAAAGAGATGGGAAACAAGGATGAAAACCTCAACATATGGCAAATAAGTTTGACTTTTAACAGCAAAAAATTACTTAAAACTTATATCTACATTTCTTTGTTAAAAAAAAGCTTTGGTAATTAAATCTTAAAATACCAAAAATAAATAAAAAATAGATTAGAAATATTGTTATTGATAATAAGAAAGTGAGTTATTATAAATTATTTGGAACAATTATAATATTATCACAGAGTTCTTTTTTAAATAACTAAATATCACAGGAGAATAAAAACAGCAACATTTGTTATAGGGGTCACACACACACACACACACACACACACACACACACACACACACACACACACACACACACACACACACACACACACCTCTGAAGGATATCCTAAGGAGAGGTCGTTCAGTAGTTGGAGTGTCTTGGAGGTGATTGGCTCACACTGGCCCCAGTACTTCAAGTTTGTGATGCTGAAAGAGAGGAGAGATTGAAATGAGCAGAAACCCAGAACGAGGCGTGAAGGCTTCGTTGATGATGTCAAGATATCAACATGCAGATAATGTCTTACTCACATCTTCCCTATAAAGACACTGAGTACCATGGTCTCGTCGTTCAGACCCAGAACTTCTGATAGTCGTCGATAAAGCTGCGAATAACAGAAACACATGTGTCAATATTTACTCACAACTTCATAAATATCTATATCTTTGATCTAATTATAAGAAGGCAATGAGCTCTAGAGGCGGGCCACCTTCACATCTCCATCATGTTTCTTTTCACTCAACATTTTAAATGTATTATGATGTTTGTTCCCCCAGAACTTTATTTTGACAAAATCATTTTTTATCACCATGTTGAAGCTAAATGTGTCTCTGTGTGTGTCCGGGTGTGTGTCCGGGTGTGTGTGTGTGTGTGTGTGTGTGTGTGTGTGTGTGTCCGGGTGTGTGTCCGTGTGTGTGTGTGTGTGTGTGTGTGTGTGTGTGTGTGTGTGTGTGTGTGTGTGTGTGTGTGTGTGTGTGTGTGTGTGTGTGTGTGTGTGTGTGTGTGTGTGTGTGTGTGGTGTGTGTGTGTGTGTGTG